AATTATATTCATATATATGCCATGTCAAGATATAACAGAGTAAGTAATTCAGGTGAGAATAACTTCATAGAAATATAACATATTAGCCGGAACCCCTGTGGTAGTCTGTACGGCTGAATTCATAACTCAAAAGTCAATCTAGCCGAAGTCACTACAATGACCTATACGGCACTATACTGCACAAGAGTCGGAACCAAATGAAAATGTTTGTACGACAATGTTGGGTGTAATATAATTATGCTCAATACTACCCTTACATAATAACTGGACGATAAATCGTTAGTCACCTACGAGTCGGAACCATAGTGAAGGTCTGTACGACAATACTGTGCACCTAAATTGATCCAATATGAGCATATGGTGCGGGAGGTGACATTATAAATAGGTATGTGCCATATCTCTGGCTAAATCACAATCATCTTAGGTGCAGTTGTATGAGCTCAACGTTATTCAATCACATATCACATCATCGATAATTCACATAACCAAACATAACTTACCTGAGCTTACCTGAGCGTCCACAGCACCACAATTATATATAATGCATCACATACCAATTCATATATGAATTATAAACTTATATGCATGACATTCAAGGCATAATCTCATTTAAACATATTTTCTGGGAAAATATTAAGTATATAATTATATACTAAAAACCAAAAGCCCACTCACTGGTATGTCGAAGGGTCGTAGCCCTCGAGTCGCCCTTGAACACGATTGTCCTTGGGATAAGTCTCATTTATATGCGAATTAACTATAAAAACGTTATTTAAAGCACATAGATAAAACTAGCTAATAACTTCTCATACAATGCTCAAATGGGGTGTTTGAATATACCAACATGATCTACACAACTCCATGAAACATCCCCATATTTTTAGAAAAATTTTCCGACCACCCACGCACCGCCCAAGGCACGGCCCTGGCACACCAACGACAACAGTGATGCCGTTAGGAATATTCCGTTAAATAGTAACAGAATCCATTAAAGTTAACTAATGCCGTTGACGTAATATTCCGTCATCCCTTACCTCTAACCTCCGGCGACCGTTGCCGGCGCCGAAAATTGGATAATTTTTCTAAACCTTATATCTCCGTCGATTTTCATCCAAAATTCATGAAATTAGTGCCAAATTAAAGCTCTCAACTTGTAGAACATTCCCATACCTGAAACCTTCACATTTACGTGTGCATGAACAGTGTACAAAGTCGGGGTTAGGGTTTCTCAGGTTTTCGAAGCTTTCCATACTCAAAAATGGTACCGATGACCTCAGAAGCTTGCAAGGAACAAGAATCTTACCTCTTTGACATCGATCTGTGAAATTTGAAAGGGTTTTGGGTGTCGTCCGTACGTGAGGGAAGCAGAGAGAGTGAGTCTGAGGGTGAGAGAGTATGGGAAAGAAGAGAGAGAGAGGGAGAGTGTGTGTGTGTGTATGTTCCACGTGGGTCACCAACCGACCACAAAATAACATCCAAGTCCCCAAAGTATGTCACACACACACACTACAAAGTTCAATATCCAAGGTTAAAACCGTCATTTTACATCACCGATAATAGTAATTCGGGAAGGGTTATGACACTAATGCCATAAGACATTTTGATGTTCAACTTTGTTTCAAGTTGAATTTGAGGGGGGTGTATTCAATTGGAGTTTTGAGGGATTTTAATAGATTTATAAATAATGGATTTCGTAGTCTAATTGATTTCTAGAGATTCTATATAAAATTTTGAGTAAATTCCTCAAATTCTTAGGGGAGAGGCGACATTTGAAAATGCTTAAAATTCACTACAAAATCTCTATAATTCCCTCGAATTCTCCAACTTTTCAAAATCTTTTAAAATCATGTTCTAATTGAATATACCTTGAATGTTATAAACTCCTTTAAAACTTGATTGAATACACCTAGACTTTCAGAAATCACTTAAAATCCTGATTGAATAGCTTTTAATTTATAAAACGAATTAAAATCTCTCAAAATTCCAATTGAATGTGATCATGAATTTTTTTTTTTCCAGTTAGTTGTATTAATGCAATAGAACATTTAGTTTGCAAATAAATAGGTTTTGAAGTTTTACGTTTGTTTTAATGTTGAATATTTATATAAAGCCAATTTTTTAACGGGCTTACAAATTGGACCCAAACCAAAATCGAAATCTAATTGTTTGATTCCATTTTGGTTCGCATTGCAAAACCAAACCGAACTAAACTGAGCCATTCCCATCCTTGCTAAAATCATAATTTGATGTAATTTTTTAATGATTTAAAAACGCAAGCAGTGATACAAACCGACTTTATTCAGAATTCTGCACACGACAGGCACGTGACGGATACAAACCAAATTATTTTTGAATTCTTGCCGCCCGGGTGGCGCAAACCACTAAATCGGCGCGGGGAGCAACGACAAAGTGGAGCGTCGTGGCTTTCCTGTCGAGTAAATTGTCGCCCAAGTCATAGGCTTCTCTCCTCTTCTTACTTTTCGATCTCGTGAGATCGATACGGCCTTCGCCTGAGGTAAACAACTCTAGGAGTTTAACTACGATTCAAATCGATTCATTTTTCTAGGGTTTTGATTTTTAGGGAAATTTATCAAATTCAGTTTCGTTTCTGCGTTGTGGATTTTAGGGTTTTCTAGAGTTGTTGCATGCCAATTGTTCCCATATGGAAGAAATCCCCTTCGTATTTACCTTTGACCTAATTTTCACAAGCTGAGTAGCGATTTATGTATCCCCTGTTTTCTTTATTTTTCGTATCCAATTTATAGGTGTGGAATTTGGATTGATACATGCTTGCTTTGATTTTGGTTGGCTCAGTTCATGGTTGACTCGATTATTTTCATGCCTTCGTTCATGGTTTGCCTTAATTCATGATAGCTTAGTCCTAATTTGTTGCTCAGTTATCCTGATACCTGGATTTAGGGTTGTCTTGCTTGGGTGATTTTGATACCTTGATTCATTGTTGCTGCAGTCTATTTTTGTTGAAGTTCTAGTTGCCTCAATTATCTTGATGTCTCGATCCATGGTTGCCTCGGTTATGTAAATACCTCGATTACTGGTTGCCTGAGTTTATTGTTCGTTGAATACATTGTTGCCTCATCATGGTTGCCTTGGTTGGATTGGTGCCTCATCATGGTTGGTTCGGTTAATGGTTGCCTCAGTTTATTCTTGAAAAAATATTGTTGTCTCGATTAATGGTACCCACAGTTGACTCCTCGATTAATGGGTGCCTCAGTTTATTGTGGGCTTAAGACATTGTTTCCTTGGTTTATTGCTGCCTCAGTTTCTTCGGTGTGTTGTTACCTTAGTTCATGGTCGCCTCACAGTTATCTTGATGCCCTAATTTATGGTTGCCTCAGTTATCTTGTTGCCCTAAGTCATGGTTTCTTCGGTTGTTTGGATGACCTGACTATTATTTTCATAATTATTTTGACACATTGTTGGCCATATCGACTCAGTATATTTTTCTCACAGCTGATGGTTGTCTATGATATTTGATGCCAATTCATGGTTGTCATGAACTCTCAGTTGTATTGATGTAGGACGTATCGATTAATGGTTGCCTCAGTATATTGTTGTCACCACTTATACTTCCTTCAATTATCTTCATCTCTCAGTTCACTGTTTTTATTATGCCTTCAATAATAGTTTCCCTCAGTTTATTCCGGGCTGCCCTCAGTTTTTTTCTTGTATATTGTTGCCTTAGATAGTCTCCTCGGTTATTTCAATGCCTTAGCTCATGAATGCCTAGTTATCTTGATTTCTTCATTCATGGGTGCTTCGATAATTTTGATGCCTTCATGGTTGCCTTGTGTTTTTTGCTGCCTCAATTTATGGATGCCTCTGTTTTTGTTGCCTTACTTCATGGTTTTCTTGGTATGTTGTATCAACTCATAATTGTCTCAGTTATCTTGATGCATGGATTCATGGTTCCATCGGTTGTATTGATTTATTGGTTAATTGCTTCGATTTATGTGTGCTACAATTGTTTTGATGCCTTGATTAGTGGTTGCGTTGGTTGATCATTAGTTTTAATCCACTGTTGTGCTCTGATGCCTTGATAATCACTTACTGGGAATATTTGCAGTACGGGGAAGAAATTTAACGTAGCCCCTACTATTGTATTGGGATCTTGAAAAAAAAGAGAGAAGATACTAGCATCGGTGATTGTTGCCTTGATTCATGACAGATCTTAATGCCTTAATTCATGGCTGCCTTGGTTAATGATGGTTTCATTGATTATTTTGAGGCATTTATTTACAACTATTTTCATTTCTTATGATTCTATTCATGGTTGCCCTTGTTTTTGTTGCCTCTATTCATGGTTTCTTTGAGTGTTTTGATTTCTTGGTTCATGGTTGCTTTAGTTTTGTTACTTGAAATCATGCTGCCACAAAATATTTTGGCTTCGTGTGATGGCTTTCTTTGTTTATTACCTCGATGCATTGGTTCATTATAGTATTGGATTCAGTTATTTTAATTCACAGATGCCTCGATATCTTGTTGCCTAATTCCTAATTACAAGTTCCTGTAACGTTTCTTGATTGTTTATATACGCAAGTACAATTAAAAGATGATTAGGTCACCAAACTTGTGAAACCCAATCTCTGCTTAGAAAACCTGCATGTGGTGTGCATCTTGGATAAAAAGATACAGAATTAGGCAAATTTTATAAAAATAAAAGAAAAGAAAAGAAAGAAATTTGGTGATTGTTATCCCGAAAGTATAGACAGTTTGTTGTATGGGTTTTTAACTTGCAACTTCTTGTCCTTGGTTTATTAAGATAGTTTACTCCCAATGAGTTCCTAACAATCTTATTTTATGTGGAAATGATAGTTTGATCCGGATTTAGCATAAGTTATTCTTTGAAATGATCTCAATAGAATGCAGGAACTTTTACTAGAATGTCATTACCATAAAATCTGAGTTTCTATGGCAACAAGAAGGGAGCTTATAAGTTGCTTGCCTCTTTCTATTTATTAATTTTTCAACATTTCTACTCTTTGCTGAAAGGAACTGAAGAAAACTCGGCAGCTGCTATGAAATATATCCTGAAACTTTGCAAGGTTGGTAAATATGCCTCGTTCTCCGACCTCCTCTATGTCCTTGTAATTTTTTGAAGTGTTTTCATGGTATTTATCTGATACTCCATTTAAAACTTTAGGTTTTGGTGTGTGTTAGTGATCTCCTTTTAGTTTTTGACCTTGCTCTTCTTTTAATTGGTCCGAGCCAGCTGATTAAATCCACGAATGTTTTTATTTCATTTGTGTTGCCTTCTGTGAGATTTATTAATTAAAAGGACTGCCTTTTATGTTTCCTTAGCCCTTAGTTAACTTAACCATTTGCAATATTGGGTACTAGTTTGTTTAAATGTATTCTAACTTAAGCGTGGGTGTGCGCATCCAGAACTTTTCTGATATGTTTGTCATGTTTTATTTCAATGTAACATCATATCATGAACGTCGAAAATAAGATAGACTTCCCATAAGTTCATGAGATTGGGTAAATTATTTCATACAAACTCTGAGAAATGAGGATGGCCATTTATCCTTGTCTGGTTGTCTGAATTTTATGATTTTATCTGACGGAAAATTGGTAGTAGAGTAGTGATTTGGTCATCTAATTTATTTTCACGATGACCCATGTGTAGGATTTTCTAAACATATATAAAGAGACCAAAAATGCGATGTTATCCTTTATAAAAGTACGATAGGCGAGCAAATGATCCCACATACTGGTCTGAGTTTACATGCCCGATGTTTGGCGAGCAGGACACAAGTCTAAAACAAACAGGAGGGATTCAGAGACCCATGCTGCGATGGGTTTTGAGCGAGCCTCTTCTCTATTCTGCGTCTCGCTTTTCCTTCTCTTCTGTCCATGGTTTTGAGCCTGCCTCTGCGTCTGATGCTGAGTTTGGCTTGGCAAGGTATCTTCCTTTTCTCTATTTTCTCATTCCTTCAAAAACTGCCCACCTATTTTCTGATTTATAGTTTTATCTGAGTTCAAATTTCGACTTTAGTTTTTATCGGTTTCCATGTTTGCTCCAAATTTTGAACTAGTTTGGTTTTCGTTTCTCTGAATCTTACTCTTTGGTCGATGTGGGTTGATAAGACCTACGTCCTAATATTTCAATCTGTTCTCGTAAGTTTTGAGCTCGGTTTCTGATTGATGGTAGGCTACTAATCTCATCTGTTATCTGCTGCCTTAGACAGGATTCCTTTTACCTCCATTGGGTCGGTTTATTGAAAATGTATTCGCTTTCATGAAATGTGAAAATCAAGTACAGAAGTAATCAGTGGTAATTGCAAGTGAATTACCAAGTAATTAATTGCATCAAATATCTCTCTGTCTCTGTCTCTGTCTCTCTCTTACTCTTATTTATTTAGCTACATATATATATGCCTATAACCTAAACCACATGTGTCCATATCCAGTATTATGTGTGATCCTCTGCAATTCATTCATCACATCCATGCAAATCCACACAACCCCTTCACAGCCAAGAAATAAAATCCAGAATTCCACTCTGATTGTCACACGTGCACACGGTGATGATCACCATCATGCTACACTAATTCCTTCTCACCCATCTTAACCAAAATCTCCCACAGCCGTTGGATCTCCCCGAACACATCGTCCGTGGGAAGCGTAAACCGGCAGCACGGACAAGTGTTCCTCTTCCTCAGCCACCGCAAAATACACATCCAGTGAAACAAATGCCGGCACGGCAGTTCACACACGTCTCTGTCCTCTCTCATCTCTTCTTTACATATCATGCATTCGCTTCCGCCGCTGCTCACCTTCACCGACGGCAGCGCCACCACCGCTGCTGGTGATGCCGCTACTTCTCTCCCTGCCTTCCCGCCATAGCAAAAGCCCATCACGCTGACAAATCTCAAGCACCTCGTCAGCACCTCAATATAAGAAACCAAAGCCGACCCGTTGTAGACTCCGATGCCGGAAACTGTTAGCATGTTGTCGGAGTACAACTTGCTTAAAATTTCGCGCCATTTTATAGTTGGTGCTTGGAGGGCTTCCGGGTTGTGCTGGTGTACTTCGCAGAGTAAGAGGAGGAGCAGGACGGAGTCGAGATCTCTTTTTCTGACGACGCGTGGCGGTGGTGGATTGGTGCAAGGGTGGAAGTGGAGTGTGAGGTGGTAGAGGGAGGAGAGGAGGTGGTTGGCGATGAGGAGAGTCTTGTGGGGGAGGGGGAGGGAGTTGAGGCGGTGGAGGGTGAGAGAGAAGAGGATGGGGGAGGAGAGGAGGGAGGAGAGACGGTGGTGGTGGTGGTGGGTGTGGGAGAGGATGGTGTGGGTGAGATGTGAGAGTTGGGGTGGGGTGAGGGTGGCCAGAGCAGCCATGATGGTTGCCGTTGCTGTTGCTGTTTCTTCCATTATGGGATCGTGTGCTTTGTGGACTTTTGCTTTTAATCTTTTTATAGAGCGTGGAAAAACGGTTTTGAGGATTGTTGTGGCTTTTTTTGTGAATTTTTGCTTGGACTAATTTGCCCATGCTTGTCTCTTGTAATGACTATTGTACCCCTTTTGATATTTGCTCCACTTTTGTTCTAAATACTACAAAAAAAAGTGATTTTCATGCACATTTTTCTCCTCATACGCTTCTTGCATTTGGATGAATAATCAAAGAAAAATTAATAGACAAAATCAAGCAGAGGTATGGAGAAGAGTGTCATAGTTATTTTCCGTACTATATTATTGTTGCCATGATATTTATAGATGTGTTCAAATCTTACAATAATCATCTCATTACATTCACAAAATCATGTTTATGTGAAATCTATGGTCATTACGTTCACATATATTTGAAATCTTAAATCAACATTAGTTTTGTTAGTGTCAAGTCATAACAACTTGTTTTTTCATTAATGATTTTTCTTTAGAGGCAAAGAAGAGGTTGGGAATCGAACTCTTAATTTTATCATGATCTAGACAAAACGAATGCGAGAATCAAACCCTTAACTTTATACTGATGTCAACCAAGAGAAGACCGAGAGGCGAACTCTTAATTTGGTCACATCTTTGATGTGAATCTATCCTTCGACGACTAATGTCAACTAAGAGGAGCGAGAAACGAGCTCTTAACCTAGTCACATCTTTGATGTAAATCTATCCTTCCACAATATTCAATGACAACAAATGCAATATGAATGTGCATTTGGGGGTGTAAGGTAAAGATGAATTGAATGAAGTCAGTGGGTATGTAGGTTTGTTTGTCCACAAGTTGTGTGTCCAGTTCAAACCCATTTGTCCTTCCTATATAATTATATCTATAGCTTTAGTATAGTCTTTAATTATCTAAAGAAAAACAAGTAGAAGAGGAAAAAAACCAATTGGCCCATGCATGGCTCGTTCTCCTTGTCCCCCTCCACTCTTAATAATGCAAATGTGACGACCGATCGTTTCGCTTAACAAGGATCTTGTCACCTTTTACATTTACATCTACCGCCTGCAACTCCGGTTAATCTTCATTGCAAGTTGAGTAAATTGTGAGACTGGATCTAATAAAGAGAAATGCTTAGGAGGCTCTTTCAAAATGACATTTTCTATGAAGTCTCTGATATCTTATATTTTTTGCACAATGTTTTATAATGTTTGCATGAGAATTGTCCAAAAACATGACGTTGCGAACAGTCCACTTTTGAGAGAATCTTCTTAACATTTATATTTGGTAAAATAGCCTAATAACCATTCGGTCCCTTGGTTTTGACTTCTCCTTTTGGTATCTGGGGTTGAGATTATGGGCTTGTTTGCAATGCTTTTAAAAATGATGAAAACGTTGTTGGTGAAAATATTATTGGAACCAATATTTAGTAAAAGTGCAAATGAATTATTAAAAAAACACTTGAAGTGTTTTTTGCAAGAATTACATAACTGGTGTTTGTTACAAACATTTCAAGTGCTTTTGGAATTTAAAACTATTTTCTCTAAAAACGCATTCAATCATTTTAAAAATATTTGAATTTAGGTGATGCGCCCTAAAACACTTGGATTTTTAATAAAAACATTTTTAGTATAAACACTTTTTAAGCACATGTGTCGTGCATAAGTAATCCCTAATGAGTTCTCTGTGACAATTAATAATGTGTTAGTGGATTAACACTTTGATGTAATGATGGTAGGATTAATGAGTTTTATTTTATTTTATTTTCTTCTTCTTCTTCTCTCATAGGAGTTTTAAAAGGTTCTTTTTCAAATTAATATATTGTCTGAGATGGTATTCAATTAACACACTATCCGTCGGTAAGAAAATTGTTATTTGTCACGTGGTGTCACCGGTTGCAAGACAAAATCTCACCAACCCATTGGTTGACGTATTATTCCACAAGGGGTATCCTGATCAGTGATCCCCACACAATCAAACCAAGTGAGCGTAAAAAACCCTTTAGAGGAGACACAATGATAATCTTTGTGGCAACCAAACCATGATCAAGATACAGGGCCGAGGAGGTGCCGGAAAAAAAATCATAATTCCATTGGATTCTTAAACAGCAAGAAAATATTGCAGCTAACTTTAAAGTATGGATAAAAGTATGAACAGGTCCAAAAACTATTCAATATGTTTAAATAGAGTAAAAGACGGGTGTGATAAAACAATAGTTTGGTGTCACGATAACAACTTATATAACACACGTACATTGATATTATAGTATTCCATGTCAATGATACAATGCTAAGCGAAAAAACTTACACTTGTAGTTGTATAATTGTATTATTGGCATGGATTGCTACGGTGGCAGTGTACCCGTTCAATGTAAGTTCTATAATATAAGAGAGATCCCCAATCTACAAATCAAATTGCAAGGTAAAATAATTCCACCAACTCTTCTGATGAATGAAGTTCTTTCCTGATTCTGAGCACTTAAAAACACGAATTCTATGCCACTATGGAAAAACAGGGCATTTCTTGGATCCTAAGCTAGCTGATATGAGCCGGAGTGATGATCTTGGCTCAAACATTAACACTCTCCTCATCTAATTCATCCTGCAAGGCATACCCTTTTTCTTTCATCATCCCCAGCAATCCTTCCAGTGTTTCGTAGATCTCTTCGGTTCTTTCGTTTGATGTGTCCTTCACTATAAAGCTTTGTAACCCCTTACTTGTTTCAATCCAGCTACTGCCAGGAATCTTCCTCAGCCCAACTTCTTTCATTCTCTCCCTGACCTTATCAGCTTCTTCCCATCTCCCAGCCTGTGAATATAAATTCGCCATAATGATGTAATTCCCTGTATTCTCGGGTTCGATTTGAAACAAGCGATCGCAGACAAATTTTCCCAATTCAACATCACGAGAAACTGAAGCCCCATTTAGTAGTGCACCCCAAACTTTAGCACTTGGTTCAACTGGCATTTTGTGGATAAAATCTGCAGCTTCGGTGAGTTTCCCAGCTCGGCTAAGAATGCCTACCATGCAGGCATAATGCTCAACTGAGGGCTGAATGCCATATTCCGGAAACATGGCATCAAAGATTTTCCAAGCCTCATCAACCACTCCAGAATGAGCACAAGCTGTTAATACTGCTGTAATTGTCACTTGATCTGGTTGAATCCCACTATTCAGCATCTCATAAAAGAGGCCAAGAGACGTATCACCATCTCCGTGGGATGCATAAGCTGAGATTATTGATGTCCAAATGATTAAGCTCTTACCTTTTGCTTGATCAAAAACCCTCTGTGCCCCGTAAAGAAAACCTGACTTTGCATAAGTATCGATAATGGCAGTTGCAACATAAATATTCCAGTCAAAATTGTTTCTAACAGCATAAGCATGTACTTCCTTCCCAACTTTCAGATTTGAGAAATACGATATTGTGGGAAGAATACTTGACAATGTCACGGTATTTGGTTTGCAACCACATGCCTGCATTTCTCGAATTAAATTCAATGCCTCTTCGTGCTGGTTGTTCTGAACCAAACCTGAAATCACAGCATTCCAAGTACTTAACTTTGGCTTCTTACTATCTCGAAAAACATCCATGGCTTTGTCAACAAACCTGTGAAACATGTACCCCGAAACTAATGAGCCATAAGTGACCTCATCCTTTTCACTCATCTCATCAAATAATTCTTGAGCATAATCCAAGCTACCACATCTTGCATATAGCCCTATAAGAGCATTGCAAACCAAAACATCCATCTCGATTTGATTCTCAATGACAAACTGATGAACCTCCATACCGAGCATAAGATCATTTGACTGTAAACATGCCTGCAACACACTCACCACTGTCAACCCAACAGGCTTAAACTTCTCCAAGCCTAACATCATCCTATACAACTCTTTGCACTCATCATAGTATCCGGCTTGAGAATACCCTGCAATCATCGAATTCCACGACACAATATCTCTTTCCGGCATCCTGTCAAACAAAGCTCTCGCCAAACCTACCTCATCACATCTCGAGTAGTAAGTAATCAAAGAATTAACAACAAAAACATCCGAATCAAACCCACTACGCAGAACAAAACAATGTACTTCCTTAGCCAATTTTGAACCTGAAAGCAAAACCCCAAGAGCCTTCAGCACACAAGTCACAGTAAAATTGTCGGGCTTCGCTTGATCCGAACACGAAGACACCATAGCAGAAAACCACTTCAAGTTGTCGGCGTGCATATTGTTAATGGAATACCCAATGAGCATGGCGTTCCAGGAGAAAGCATTTGGGTGGGGAATTTGGTCGAACACCTTGCGGGCATAGTTGATATTATTGGTTTTGGAGTAGAAATTGATGAGCTTTGAGGCCAGGAAGTTGCCGGGCGTGACGGAGTAGAGGACGAGGCGGGCGTGGAGCTGCTTGGCCTGACGGACCAGGCGGTGCACCGTGCAGTGCTGGATGAAGTGCCCGTAAGCTCCGCAATCGAGCCCGTCGATTCCATGGAGGCTCTGAAGGGCACGTTGGACGTAGCCGTTGGTGGCGGCCGAGAATTGAATGTTCAATGACTTTGATAACAACATTCATTTGTTTTTCTCATAAAAGCTTAAGCTTGCTTGCCTTATAGCTTTCTCGTGCCACCTTTTTTTTTAGCATCGTCCTTCGCTGTTTCTTCTTCACCTTTTACAAGAAAAAGAAAAGAAAAATAAAATCAATGGTATTTTCCTGTTCTTAGGGAGGAAGGAAGATATCCTCTTGTACTTTTGTTGTTGATTTCGTAACTTTTTTCAATGATCTAAATAATGGGTAAATTACATACTAACTCCTCAGGTTTGAGGTCTATTTGTAATCTTATACAACATCTTTAAAACATTTTCTTTCATACCTCAAGTACTATTTTATTTCAATTTCATACAACCGTTACATTTTCCATCCATGGATCTGTTAAATGCTGACGTGGCTGTCACATATATGTCATGTGGCTGCTAAATGTCTGCCACGTGGCAAATAAAAATAATTTTTTAAATTTTTTTTAAAAAACCTGAAATTGGAAGGAAAAAAAAAAAAAAAAGGGACCGAACCCTTGCAACCCAGAAGAAGGAGGAAGAAGAAGAAGAAGAAGAAAAAAAAAAAAGAAAGAAAGGGACCGAACCCAGAAGAGAAGAAGAAAGAGGAGGAAGAGAAGAAGAAAGAGGAGGAGGAGGAGAAGGAAGAAGAAGAAGAAGAAGAAAAAAAAAAAAAAGAGAGAAAGGGACCGAACCCAGAAGAGAAGAAGAAAGAGGAGGAAGAGAAGAAGAAAGAGGAGAAGGAGGAAGAAGAAGAAAGAGGAGAAGGAGGAAGAAGAAGAAGAAGAAGAAAAAAAAAAAAAAAGAAGGGACCGAACCAGAAGGAGGAAGAAGAAGAAGAGAAGAAGAGAAGAAGAAAGAGGAGGAGGAGGAAGAAGAAGAAAAAAAAAATGATCGAACCCCTGCAACCCAGAAGAAAAAGGAGGAAGAAGAAGAAGAGAAGGAGGAGGAGGAGGAAGAAGAAGAACAAGAAAAAAAAAAAAGGAACCGAACCCAGAAGAAGAAGAAGAAGAAAGAGAAAAAAAAAAGTGGCAAACAGGTCTTTTAAAAAAAAATTAAAAAATTATTTTATTTGCCACGTGGCAGTCATTTGGCAGCCACGTGGCATATATGTGGCAGCCACGTCAGCATTTAACAGATTCATGGATGTAAAATGTAACGGTTGTATGAAATTGAAATAAAATAGTACTTGAGGTATGAAAGTGAAATGTTTTAAAGATGTTGTATAAGATTGCAATAGACCTCAAACCTGAGGGGCTACTATGTAATTTACCCCTAAAGAATTTATATTTAATTTATTATTCATATATCATTCTTGTAAAATTAAAAAAAAAATTCAAAATCATTAAAACATTTAATTGTAATGAAGAGAATAGACGAATATAATTTTTTAAATAAATACTAAAATGAGTACTATTTAATTCAATAATTATACTGTTTTAGATTCAAGTAACTTTTAGTAGAAATGATATTTAAAGAAAAATCTAAAAGATAAATAATTGGTTCGTCGAAATACATTGTAAAACAAACTTTCGAAAAAATCCACAATTAAGCTTATTTGAAGAATCTCTCAAATAATGTTGTGAACACGGAAAATTCCTGAAACGAAAGAGACAAGAACAACGACGTGCACAAACAAATATTTGTATTTTTGATGATTTTGGGTTACAATCTCTCTCTATTTTGATCCTCTGATTCGATCTCCGCAAGGTGTTGATTGGTGGGTGTTTCGTTGATCCAAGGGCCGTCGGGGCTTGATATTGGATGAACTGTTGGAAGTTTCTTCAAAGGGCCGTGGGCTTGATCTTTGAAGGTGGATTTGAGCGGATCTTCAAGGGCTTTTGGGCTTGATCTTGAAGAAACAGTGATGAACAGATCTTCAAGTGCTTTTGGGCTTAATCTTGAAGAACGGTTGGATGTGTGGATTTGTCGACGTTTGTTGATCCAAAGGGCCGTTGGGGCTTGATCTTGGAAGAACGATGAACGAAGAACACTTTCTTCAAGGGCCGTCGGGGCTTGATCTTGAAGGTGGATGATTGTTGATCCAAAGAGCCGTTGGGGCTTGATCTTGGATGAACGGATGATGAACGATGGTGCTTTCTTCAAGGGCCGTCGGGGCTTGATCTTGAAAGAGCGATGGACGAAGAACGAAGAACGAAGAGAGCTTTCTTGATTCTTCGGGAACCTGGATGCTTGAGAGCTTCGGAGCTTCAGAGCTTCAGAGCTTCAAGGTGTAATATCAATTGGTTTCCCAAATGAATGAAATGGGCTTGTATTTATAGAATTTTCCAAGGCCTAATTTTGAATATAATATTCCAGATGAAATAAGTCGTTTCTGCCAGGTGTTGACACGTGTCCTATTTGATGACTTTTCCAACTTATTTCAATTTTCGTTGAGTCACACGCTACGTGTAAAATTTATGTAATACATGAGCGTTGACACTTTGATTTATCGGTCAACATTTATTTACCGAAATTTCGATGTCTACAAATGTTTTTATTTCATCTTGACTTTTCTTTTTTCTTTTTTAAATTTGTATGAGAAAATAAAATAAATTTTACCTAATTAGGGCAAATGATAGGAAAAAAAAATCTCAAGTGGGAATACATTTTTTTCTCCTCAAAACTCATAAACATAACTAGCATGTGATTAGGGGAGGGTGAGGATCAATTTGACACTTAAAATATAACTAAATTAACTAATATTCATCAATTCGATTTGGTTTGGTTTTGACCAAGATAACCATTGAAACAAAACCAAACCAAACTCTTGTTAATTGGTTTGATTCAATTTTTCGGTTAGTTTGATCCTCTTCAAGACTGAAATAAAAAAAGTTTAACATTTGAAGAGTTGAAATCTTTTGAACATCCACAAATCTCATGCATTCTAATTTGATTTAAAAGGTAAGTTTTTCAGAACATAAAAAGTTTATCAAATCAAATAGAACTAAGTTTCAATTAAATAAAATCTCATGCAAGCAAACGATTTAAATTACAACCTCATATAAGCAAGGGTACATATAAATCTCCCAATTGTTAGTTGCCATTACAACTTATATATAATAGGTTGAGACTTATAACATGTGTATGGTAAGACCTCTAAATAACTTATAATAAGTTGACATGTGTAAAATAAAAGGTTATGACACCCTAAAGTTTATTGTGTTTTCTCAAAAACCTCTCAGGTTTGACAAATTACACCAACACCGTTTGAAGTTTTAATTCACGTTCACCTCACCCTTCTCGTAATAAATTTACCTTTACAATTAATTACTTTTTTTTAACAATATAATTAATTACTTAAACAATAAAAAGCCATTATAAATAAATACAAAAACAAGTCAAACTAAAAATTACATTACTCAGTAAAAAACAAAAAATAGCAATACCCTATCCATCTTCTTCTTCCCCTTCCATTTTTTCCTGACCACAAACTATTTTTTTACCATCAATCAACTGTTGAGAATATGAAGAAATCTTGCATGTGTTTATAAGGAGTTGAGTTACTCTTCATGTTGCTAATTAAGATTCCATCACAAAATCAATTTTTTTTTTAGAAATATAGCCATTTTAAAAATCGCATAATAAAATATAGCCTATATTGAAGTGAAAAAAAAACTTAATTACGCTTAGGTTAAAACTCTCATCTCCTCCCACCTCTGGTGTTCGTCTCTTGAACTCTCATCTCCATTTCAATTGTTAAAACACAACCACCACATTTCTCTTCATTCAGATGCAATTAAACCAAATGTTTGCTAATCAAACGCGGAAGTGCCAAACCCATAACATTGAGATAATCTTTCAACCTCCATTTTAGATCGAGAAAACTTCTTTGCAAAAAGATATTTTTTTTTTTATAAGAACAACACACATAAACAAAAATCATTTAATATAATAGAAGATGATATTCGAGATATGGATAAAAATAAGTATAGAAAATATTTTGATTGGAGAATTCTCAATTTTTGTGTTAAAATGAAGGTCGATATTGAGGCTTGGATCAATATTGAATGTAACAAACACTAGCTGCAGTACTAAATGAAGAAAACACTATGTGTCAGCAGTCGCGATAATACAGAGAATGCAAGCGTTATCTGGAAGAATTGGATGTAAAGCGTCTGTTGGTGGCTTTTTAAATCCGCAAATTACCCAAACCATGTAAAGCACCCGTTCTGGGTCCTTTGTACCCCTTGCGGATGCAATTGCAGCAACTAAGGTGAGAAAGAGGAGGAAAAAATTCACAAAGCTATAGAAGGTTCATGGTCAGCAGTGTCGGACACAGTGCTGAGCTTTTATACGAGTTGACTATAAATTCTCTCCTAGTTTTCAAGCACGTCCTTTCATTTTAAGGGGACTCCTTGGAGGTTTGAGTCCGGAGCACGTCGCCTGACCTTAATTATAAAAAGGTTGATGACCCATTGACATAAAATGTGGCATGTAACTTAGGTACATCTTCAAGGCTTTTGCTTGTACTTTATATGTTGTTTATTTAATTCGAATGGTTTGAGTGTGAGATGTTGGTTACTCCAGCTTCTCCATCCTTGGTGCAATTAGGGTTTTAGAATCGATAAAAAAAACTTGTTTTTCTATAAGAGCTATTAGGGTTTTAATCGAAATGAATGTAGCATAAACAAGGAGTGATGGTAATGTTTAATTATAGTGTATGGATTTATTAATAAATTTTAATTTTATTATTAATTTCATCTTGTACTTGATGATAATTATGCAAGAGAATAAAAAATTTATTAATATTTAAAATTTAGTTTGAGTGTAGAAAGATGTTAGATGAGTTTAAAAAAAAATTTCCCTTAAACATTTTCAGCTTGTTATCCGTAATATCGATTTATCTGAAACGAGAACCTCTGTTGTCTAAGAATGCATCTGTTCTTGGTAGCCGCCATTATTCTGCCATCACGCTCTGCATTGTGAAATCTTCCCTCTTAAGTCTTAACCCGTTCAATTGTTAAATCATTTTGACACCATGGTTTGGAATTGGGTTACTTAAAAGAAAAATAGCAGAAGGATCATGATTTTCCTAAGATTTTACAGAAAATCATGGCCGAGTGTCAATTCAATTTGACAACCATATGTTAATTAGCATACTGTTCCCACAAAACACATTGACACAGAAA